AAAAAAAAAAAAAAGAGTTCACTTTTCTCATTAATCTACATAATATGAAGAGGCCAGGACAATGTAGATATTTTAACTCATGTTTCTCAACATGGTTGTGATGACACTAACAACCCTCTATCAACAACCTGAAGTTGACAAATGTACAGCAGTGAATAGTTGAGGACAAAGATTCAACTATTCAGGTCAGAAGCAAAAGACAAGCAGCATGGGCAGACTGAGAGGAGATTTCTTCAAGGTTCTAAGCCAGAAAGGTGGGAGACATCAGTACTTACTGAAAAGAGGCACTGCGTAATTGGACAGAGATTCTATACCTTTGCCAAAATGTAGAAAAAGTGAGGTAAGCCAGGGCACATTTGTGTTATGTGCCATTAGTGCCTGTTAGGCTACCTTAGGTTGCAAGAACCAAATGCAATGGAAATTGCCTTATAAAATAAGGGAGTAATTATCTCATGATACCAAGAAGCTTGAGATTAAAGAAATTCAACATTTAATCATGGCAATACTGAGCTTCTTGGCCAGATGCGGTTACTCACACCTGTAATCTAGAACTCTGGGAGGCCAAGGTGGATGGACTGGTTGAGCTCACGAGTTTGAGACCAGCCTGAACAAGAGCAAAAAAGAAAACCTAACTGGGCATTGTGGTGCCCTGGGCACCTGTAGTCCCAGCTATTTGAAAGGCTGAGGCAAGAGGATCACTTGAGCCCAGGAGTTTGAGGTTGCTGTTAGCTACAGGCTGCAATACCATGGCAATCTACCCAGAGCAGCAGAGTGAGACTGTTTAAAAAAAAAACCCTGTATTTCTTCTACCTTTCCACTCTTCCTGTGTTCTCAGTTCCAAAATACCTGCTAACATTGAAGTGGGGATGGGGACAGGCTATATCTTCTAAAATACGTTTTTTAAAAGCTATAAAAACATTCCCCTGAATGACCTGGGAAAATTTCCTGTCCCATCCTCTCTGGCCTGAATTACTTCCCATGGACCCACCTCTTCTCAAGTACATACAGGGTGAATACCAAAGGGTTCAATTAGTGAGACACAGAAGTGGGCTACTCAAGACATAGGCATATTAAACCAAAGGAAGCCAGGGTACGTGTGTCACTGAGCTAGGGTACAGGGAAGGACTTCTAGGCAGGGGAAGAATAGGCTCATTTCCCAGAAGTCATTGCTGGGATGACTAAAGATGCTGATGGACTCAACCAAAAAAATGGCCGGAGCCGGGAGACAAAAGAACAAGAAAAAGTATGTAGGAGCAGTCCATCTTCTGCACTGTAGAAGGAGACACTGCCAGCCTCATAGTCTAGGTAAACCCCCACCCGGTGAAGAACTGGTTCTTGCCTGGGAAGAGTTAAAGGATGTCTTGACAGGGGCCGATAGCCAGCAGAACTCCAATAAATAGCCCAGATTCCCACATGGGGAGACATACTTGAACTATCAGTAATCCCCATGATGTCTTCCTGACACACTCCCACAGCAATCTCCAGGCTACCTCTATTCTCAACTTCCCAGTAATGCTTCCCTGAGGTGAAAACATTTTTTCCCAGAACACAGGGTAAGTGTTGAAATCTCTCTACAAGGTCTGTGGTCCTCAGAGGATTCTTCCATCCAACAAAGTAGTTCCACGTTGCAGACCATGAACTGGCTGATGCTGCATTTTTCACGTATCTCCCTTCCTGGGAGAAAACAAGTTTCGGATGAGCTGTGACTTCAGCTACACTTACAGCCACTGCAGAGAAAATGAGAGCTGAGGTTAAGTAAGGCAGCAGCTTAT